GATTGTCGGAGATTGCATCGAAGGTACGCTTACGCCTGCTCTCCTGCTGATATTCGGCTTTGACTGACGCGTCTAACAGCTCATGCGGATGCGTACGAGAAATGCAGACTCATTCACCGCGACATCAGCAGCGGTAACATCCTCATACTTCCTGTATTGGTTCGGACTCCAGGCAAGAGAGAGCTCCGTGTTGTGTGGGTAGGAATCCTCAGCGATTGGGAGCTCTCTAAACCCGTGGCCGAGTCGGTGGACAAGGAGCGCGCGCGGCAGCCGGAACGGACGGTAAGCATCATTGGTTATGTTCATCGGACTGCAGCTAATCATTGTCGCAGGGCACTCTCCGGTACATGGCGTACGCATTGCTCCAGGACCAGTACCACATCGTGGGTATTCCAGACGAGATCGAGTCGTTCTTCAACGTCGTCTTTTACAACGCCTTCCGCTATCTTCCCCACAACTTGCACGACTCGGTGCCATATTTGATCGCATACTACTTTGACGACTGTGGCCTGCACAGCGACAAGTCCGCTGGTGGGGAGGGCAGGCGTGCTGTGTTGGAAACTGCCCGAGTGAAGCATAAAGGGCGCCGTCTGATCTTCGGGGGCGGCCGAAACATGCCGCTCAATCTTCTCATGCAGCAGATGCTTTATTGGTTCCAATCGCGCTACAAGATTGCGGAGTACAACGGCCTGCAAGAAGAAGAGACCACGAATGATGATGCCGAGCCACCTACTCAACGTCGGCGTGCGGAAGATGGCCAGGACGAGGCAAAAGAGGATGAGGCAGAAGAGGACGACTCCAAGAACGTTGAGGACACCTTCACCTACGATGAAGAGGACCTCCCTTCGGACAAGGACCATCAGCGTTACGAAAGTTTGAAAACTCACGCCGCCGTCCGGGAATTATTCTGGGAGCAGAGATCAAAGAAGACGTGGCCGAAGAACGAGAAATGGGATGACCATGTTGGGAACTACCAACTTGCGGTTCCAAGGCTTCCAACCCTCGTCACTGTCACCTCGACGGAAACCGGCACTACGCCCTCGATGAGGATCGACGCGATCCCCGAGAATATGACCGCCGACACCGCAAGCACTGAAAGCGGTGCTGGGCCGGTTTTCGCTCTCAACAACGACCACACCCTTCCTCCCAAGATCGGAGGGCGTCGTAACCTTACGGCGGACTCTAAGATACAGCTTTCCTACGAGTTGAAGGCGAGCAAGTCTAAGTCTCGCGGTGGATAGGTTCATCTAGTCATGCTTTCCGGGTCTATTACTATCTTGTATTGCATTGTCGTATTCAATCGAACTACGCTTGTCAAGTTCGATTCTGGATGGCACACTAGTCTTCCATATCGATTCCACGGCACAGATCCATAGTGGAGTGCAGGATATGGACTGTCTATGCATTTGCTCTGTTCACAACTTGTTGATGCACGTCTGCGCTCCTGGTCAATCATTCGATACACATATCGACTCGAAACCGGGACTTCATCCTTCAGTATGAGCTCCGGCATGCAGACAGCATCACGAAGAAATTGTGTAAAGCCAGTCTGAGTTTCATCGTCATGGCATAGTGAGTACAAGTAGACTACAGAAGGGCTACGGTCTCACAGATTTGAGGAGTGAGATAGACGGGAGAACACACACGTCAGCAGGGACTCTAGGCGAGAAGCGCTCGCGCCCATAAGTTGAACGAGCGTTTCTCGGCTAGTAACCTAACCAGCGTCCAACCACAACCACAACCACAACCACCTCCCGCCGCGCTCCACTTCTTCCACACATCCAGTTTCAGTCTCTTCGACATCTCGTAACATCCAACATCAAACAATGCCTTCTCCAATGCACGACAAGATCGTCCGCATGTCCATGGACGCGTTCCTCGATGCTTTCATTCCGAACGCCGACGGTTTCGACAAGGTCTTTGCACCCGACACGGTCCAGTCCTACGCCAACATCTTCAAAGCGTCGTGCGATGACGCAAAGAAGGAAGCGAAAGGGGGCTCTAGCGGGTACGCCGACCACCTTGTGGCCAGGGGCTGGGTGAGTGCTTCGATCCGTCCCGCTGACCACCGGAGCGTGCCGTTGACCATTGCGTACCCCAAACGGCCCGACCCGTTCAGCGAGCGATAGTCGATTTCGAGCCTCTGCTGTGCCCCGGCCACACGCTGGAGGTCCGCTGCGTCGATGCAGCCAAGAAGGCCGAGTACCAAGTTCAAGCTCGGCTGGTTCTCAAGCACGGACGCGACCTCGCCCAAGAACGCGGCTACAGGTGGTGGGTCCACCAGCGGCTCCACCTCCGCTTCCAGTCCGTGATCGACCGACCGCACACGATCGCGACCGACCACCCGAACGAGGAGGAGATCGTCGACTCGTGCCTCCCCGAGGTCCAGGACATCTTCGACCTCGCACACCGGACGTGCGTGTACACGCTCTTCACCGACATGCGCGAGTTCCGCCTCCTCCGCTGGGACCGCGCGGGCGTCATCATCAGCGACGCCGTGAACTACACCACCACCACGGGGGCGGGGATCCTTTTCGGATTCCTGTACGACTTCTCGAGGATGTCCGAGGAGGACCAGGGTCTGGACCCCACTGCGGTGCTGCTCAATGCGGACACGCTCGGGTGGAAAACCATGGACTTGTGCGCCGCCATGCGGTCATGGGACCTCGCGACCGAAGAAGATGAGCTGGAGGGCGACGTCGCCGAGAGCTTCTTCGAGGACATATCGTGGACAGACGCGGCGACCGACGACAATGGCCGCGACCCGACCGAGATCGCCACGCCCGACCGTTCGACTGTGGACGTCCCACCGACATTCTACCATGTTCGCGACGCATTCGCAAGGTCCCTTGTGAAAGGCTGGCCGCGCTACGTCTTGACCGTAGGTGCCCGCGAGTTCTTGGTGTGTCGGCCCATGGACATGCTGGACAAGCTCTTCTGCCGTGGCACTCGTGCGTACATCGCGCTCGATTGGAGGACGAACCGGATCGTCTTCCTCAAGGATGCGTGGCGTCATGGCACCGACGGTCTGCGGCATGAAGGGGCCGTGCTGAAAGAGTTGAACGAGGCAGGCGTCGAACATGTCCCGACGGTTGTGTCCTACGAGGACCTCCCTGGAAGCTCCCAGGAGACGTGGACGTCCTACTTCGCGGCGGCCGAGAACAGGAACATGCGGCGCTTGCTACACTCTCGAATCGTGGTTGCAGAAGTATACCTCGAACTTGATCGATTCGTTCGGGGAGAGCAGCTCACACGAATTATTGAGGATGCCGTCCGCGGTGAGCAGCATTCGGCGACATATCATAGGATCACTATACTCACTTCGAGCAGGACATCAACAAGCCTACGAACGGTGTGGGCTGCTGCATGGAGACATTAGTGCAGGCAATATCATGATTCGCCCCAGGTTCCGAAAGGGAACTGCAGACGTAGTCTGGGAGGGTGTCTTGACCGACTGGGAATTCGCGTGCCCGGTCGTCGAAACAAACGGGCTCGTCGAAGCTGTACATCCATATATCACGGTGAGTACTAGGTCCGCTATTGGCTGCACTGAGACTCACCTTTCAACAATCCCGCATCGCAGGGTACGCAGGCCTTCCTCTCGCTCCGAAGGAGCAGAGCACCCCAAGGAACGCTCCGAGCTGCGGACGAGCTCGAGTCGATCTACCTCGTTCTGTTGCACCATGCTATCGAGCATCTCCACCATAGCTGTGCTGAAACATACGAAGATCTCCTCAAGGTCTTCTTCAGCGGATTGAGTTACAAGAAGGGGCTGCGCCTCTGTAGTGTGACGAAGGAGGCGACCATCGCGGGGGGCAAGCTACGATGGCCACTGGTCTTCGTTGGTATTCATGACCGGGAACACCCTATAGATCGGCTTATCCGCGTCCTGTTGAAGCACTTCAGCGTGCGGTATCAGCACCCAGACATCGAAGAGGGAAGGGGTGCTTTGAGCGAGGGGGAATCGGCTATGATCAACGGATCTCATACCGCAGTGTTGGCGCTATTCCAAAGTTGCCTGCATGATCCTCACTGGCCGACTCATGACCGTGCGGACGATACCCATCTTCATGATGGCGCGGACAACGAGGATTACGACGAGGAGGAAGAGGCCGAAGGTCTGGGCGAAACCACGGTTGAAGATGAGGAACTGGACCACACGGTTGTAGGCGAGGAGAGCGAGACCGATAGAGAGGATGAGGATGCGAGCACAGGCGATGAGGAGAAAGGGCAGGGTCAGGATGAAGACGACAATGAGGACGGCGGGGATAGTGCAGAAGAGGAAGAGGCCAGCGTAACTGACGTTGAGCAGGACTCGGATGAGGAAGGTGACGGTGCGGAGAACCGTGGCCAAAAGCGTTCTCTGGAGGAGGATGAGATAGAGGACAACTCACGGCCTGCGAAGCGCTGTCGATGCTGAGAGGACGACACGATGTATTGTAGATGAGCGAGGAAAATATTGTAGGAATACTGCCGACTAATGTCCGGACTACGTTCATCACGGCGCCTTCCAGCGATGGCGTTGATACGGAGGCACATATGGCAGACTGAGCTCGAGGAAGCTACTGGCGACCTACGAAGGCCTCGTACTACATAGTGAGCTTGTGACACCTCAGGTTATGTATACATACTTTATCCGAGGCCGCAGGACGGCACAGCACTTATTGTAGGACAGTCCCTTCCCCCATCAACTTGTCCAGTCCATCGTCTGCCTAGGATACTCCTGTTCTTCTTCAATCATTGTCCGAGATGCGCCTTCTCCGGGGACTTATTCCGCAGACAGCGTGGTGACGGTCAAGTAGACACTCAAGTGCAAGAGCCCATATCAACGAGACTGAACGTAGTCAAATCCGACACATATATGCAGTTATGCAGGAGAGCGAGGGTCTGCGAGAATCCATGTAACGTTCCAGTTCAACCACCCCTCAAAGTTTGTGAGGTGTCCTACACTGCACAGTGTCAAGCAATATCAAGATTATGTACACAATATGTGACATCATTCCCGCTTAGCTCAGTGGTAGAGCGCATCACTAGTACCAGGTTCTAACCTCGAAAATGATGAGGTCAGTCGTTCAAGTCGGCTAGTGGGAATTCGGTACGCCCCCATGCATTTTGCCATCCCTCCCAAGGTCACACAATTCCGTTACGTGGCAATCTGACGGCGACGCCAGCTGTCGCACTCGCAAGGCAGATCGCATGTTTTCTCGTATGACCAAAGTTCAAGGTGATGGACTCGATGGTTCAGTTTGCAACCATTAGTTGCTCCTCCACAGCCTGTCGGCAAGTCGGTCACGCGCACGATCATTGTAGAGTACCATTTTTACGGAGGCCCGGGGGTGACCAAGTGCCAATCTGCCGTAGAACGCGCGAGGCCGATGCTTTGCCACTCCACATGTGAAGAAGGGTGACGTATGCAGAGGCCCGTGCTCGGCATAACTAAGCATCCAAGCTTGCCTTGCTCGAGCTAGAAGGACACAATCCGTCAACGGTGCGAGTAAGAAGCGCTCGGGTTGTTCAGGCCCGCCGGCGGGAACGATCTCGGACTGGGAAAAGAAGAGTTGGCACATCTTGAAGAACGCCGCTTACTCGGGCCTCCTGGCGTCGAAACAGATGATGGTTTCAAGGGAATGGTCGGGAAGAGTAGTGCAAAGAACGGCGCTCTTTTCATTGAGGCACCAAGACGCCTTCTGGTGGGGAGACTCGGAGAATGCGGGTATGTCATGCGGACGGATGCCGACTCGGGATGCGTTCTTGGAGCATAAATGGTGATGGGCTGCTGCCCTGAAGCACAAATGGATGAGAAAGGAAGAGGGGGATGGGCCATGTCGTCACTGCCTCTGCCAAATATGCGTAGGCGTCGACGATCGACAGGACCATTCGTTCGGAAACTTACTCCCCCGCTCTCGAAGAACGGGCTCTCATCGGGTTCCTGCACAGTAGCGACCCGTACGACCGGTCCCTGGAAGAATGTGGTTTGCTCCCGTCGCGGGAAGCGATAGTCGTGTTCGTGCTCACGGGAGCCAGATGTCTGCGGCCCGAACATAGTATTCGAGATCGGCACAAGACCTGCAGCATGCAGACGGAGGTCAGTAGGGAGCATCGACAGACTTAGCATAATCAGTGTGAGCGTGCAACATACCCGGGCTCGAGAAGCCAACTTGGCGTATGCACGGATACCTGAAGTCGATACCTCGTCCCATCAGTATACCGGCTCCTATCAGGATTCGGCGTCGGCTGAGTAGAACCTCGGCTCGGCGCGGGACTCCTTCCTAGTTCTTCAAGGGAGTCGGCGTTATTCGACAATACCGCCGCTGGAACGCATGCCTTCTTTGCAATATGGAATCCGTTGTCGTCGTGATGAAGGTGTGGTGTTCTTGGGAGAGAGAAAAGAGGTCGCGGTCGGAAACGATGCCGGTGTGCAATGTGCATCTCACAGCTGTTCTGAGAATTCTGAGAACATAGGAAGATTGAACGCGATAAGCTGCATCTAGACGGAAGGCTTGCATATCAGCGTGCATAGCCATAGCTATAGCAACTTGAAAACAACTCCGCTTTCGCTCCAGGTGGACAGCTGAATTGATCGTGTGACAACCCTGTCGAATGGTGAGAACGAGTCTGTGAGCAATTCAACAGAAATACCTCTGCCATACCCTCCTCCAGCCTTGTGAGCACTACAAATAATACTGGTGGGAGAAGAGGATCCTGGATTACTCGGGGAAATCTATAATGGTAGAAGAGGGTCAGTGGGTCGCAAGGGAGTTCGAGTCCTCAATTCGATTCCAAACGCAGCCATTTTCAGGACCGTATCAGTTGAGGCTTACACGTTACACATACTTCTGCCATACCTTCCTCGAGTGTTGTGAGCACTACAAATAGTAGGGGTGGGAGAAGAGGATCCTGAATTACTCGGGGAAATCTATCATAATAGAAGAGGGTCAGTGGGTCGCAAGAGGGTCAGTGGGTCGCAAGGGAGTTCAAGTCCCCAATTCGATTCCGAATGTAGCCATTTTCTAGGACTGTATCAGTTGAAGCTTACACGTTACACCCTCGTTGGTAGAGATGGATCTCTGTATTCATCATTGTATTCATCATTGATGAATATAACACCAGATAAAGACAGTACAATGTGGTGGCAGAGTTCACACCCAGAATGAAAGACTCGTGGTACATACACGAAGGACGCGAAGGCGATTAGTGAGTTGTAGTAAGTATAGTATGTCTCTAAGGGGATGTCCGTGAGCACTGGGTATTGGTACACGATAGCACGGACCGAGTGAGTGAGTGGGAAGCCCGAGAAGGAGCTATGGACGGATCCGAGGTGCAGAGATAGAGAGCGTGATGTGGCGTATTAGTACGAGAAGATCATGAGCCAGGGATTCAGCAGGATCTGGAAAATGCGTCAGTCCAGCAGTCAGGAACCAAAGGCTATAGAGAGTGAGACGTACGGGATAGAGAACGTGACAGCCAACGACGATACTGTAGAATAGTCAATGATACGACGTCAGTGATATCCGTGACATATAGGGTTCAGGCGGGAAGGGTGGTACGCACGCAAGAGGAACAATTACTGCCCAGTCCCAGCCGAATATACGCCATCCGAGAGGGATGGCGGGTGTGGTAAAGATGATCATGACCAATGTCATAATGGCCGAGATGATGAGCGAGACCCGGAAACGCGAGAAGATCTTCGGCACTTCCTGCCAAAAGTTGGAACGCTCGACCTCCTTCTTCGTCGCGCCCCAGGTGATGTTGTACGAGAACAAGTGCGCGAGGAGGGCTTGGGACAGGTGGATGCTCAGACCGCCGAAGAAAAAGAAGCTGCGAAAGTGGACAAAGGTGCGCGTTAGCTCAGTTGCGAAAGATTTGGAGGGGATGGACTGACAAGAACGGGACCCAGGTCACGTTTTCTATCACAGCGTCGAGAAGGGAGCGCGAGCCGAGACGGTACTCAAGCATCGTGAAGCCGAGGTTACCTGCGCCGGGGAAGACGACCGTGCAGGCCAACCAGATCTCGAAACTGTGCTCATAGTAGCCATCGACCTGAAGGACGGTGTCAACGACAGCGCGAACATGAGAGGGTACGGCGGTAGGGCTCACAGGTAGATTCCAACCCAGGAGGAAGTAGTTCATCAACGAGAGAATGAAGGCTCCAGCAAGCGCATCTGTAGATTAGAGTCAGCCAGCCACTTTGACTGATCGGACGTTCCAGACCAACGTACAGTACGAAAACATGTCTGGGAGGTTCCGTGAGCGAGTTGCCAACGCAATTACAATAATGAAGCTTACAAGACAACATGCCGATCTTATAGTGAACAGGCGCATTAGACCACATGAAGATACGGAGCTGCTTCGTGATGGGACCCTTGCGCCACCATTGGATCAGTGGGTTGAAGATGAGTTCATTACAGCCTGTTCCGACGGTTAGCACCAAGGCAGCAACGAGTATCTCTATAGTCTCACCATACGAGTATTTTTGCCAGCGGTTCAATTCATCATCGCACGTAAGGGATACACCTTCCTTGAAGCCACGATTCGAGTACGTTGCCCACCGGATCACGTAACCACGCAACATCAGACGGAGGGCCATGTCGAAGTCCTCAGAGACATTCGCCTCGGACCATATCTTCTTCTTGCCATCCGCCTCGTCGATGAACGCCGCGTCCTGCAGCGCAGACCAGCGCAAGAACGCATTGTGACCGACGAATGGCGCGACCTCACCGTTGGCACAACACATGGAAATGCACCGGTTGATGCGGCGCGTGAAGTGCGTGATGCCGTTCTCAAAGTAATGGTTCGCAACCTGCATGACGTCCGACTCGTGCTGGATGATCGCGACTTCAGGACACTCGGTGAGCTCACGGGCGGCATCGCGCAGGCAGTCCTCCGGGACGATGGTGTCAGAGTCGACGATCAGGATGAACTCTCCCACGCGCAGGGATTTGCCGTTACACGCCCACGGGCGCCATCTCCGTCCACTTTCCTCGTCCATCTCCTCGATGGCCATCTCGAGTGCGCGGTCCTCGATGTTGTCTTCTTGGTCTTCCTCCGGGTTCGCCGCAGCGGCGGCCTCGAGCTCCAAGATGTGCTTCTCCATCTTCAGCGAGAGCGCGAGCCCGTAATTCATGTTAGATGCCTTCTTGAACCGACCCGCGCGCTTGAAACCGTCGGGTGCGCTACTATGTGGTGGACGCGCGACCCAGCCGACGTTGTGGTCCGCGTAAAACGCGATGCGCGCCTGACGCTCCTCCTCGCTGATGAGCTGAAGGCCGTCATCGTGAACAAGGATGGAAGAAGTGCCTCCCTGGCGCGCGTATGTTTGCATTGCCTTCTTGAGCGAGTAGACCGAGGGTGCACTGTGAGACCAGTGTCAGTTAGCACAACATTCGGATGACGCGCGATAGTCAAAAGCCTATCCAACCGCCGGCAGCGTATCGGAGGCAATGCTATCAATATCCCACTCCCACAGAACACAGGAGAGCAAGCGCGGGGTAGCGCCGCGCCCGAATTTCGACCGGTCGAGGGAACTTACATCGTCTCCTTTAGGCTCTCCTTGTACACGGGCATCTCGATTGTCATGTGCGGCAAGTTTTCGTCCACCACTTTATTCGGTGCGGGGGGATGGCGGAATAGTACTTGGAGTTCTGATGGAATTGCGCAACCGGGCCGAGCCTGGGTACGGAGTCAGACAGAGAAGACAGAGAAGACAGCACATGCAAGGTCCAAACATACACATATGTGATATTGGTGATGATCATGAGAGAGAAAAACTGGCGGAAAATGCACCGTGAGCACATGCAGCAGATGAGTTCCTGCCAAGGGCCCGACTCACGAGCGAGACACAGAACAAGAAAGGGATCGTGACCATGAGGCCGAACCGGCCCCAGTTCCCGTCAAGGAGTGCCTCTTCCAGCAGCACACTCACGCCGTTCCCAACGAAGACTGCGAGTTCCCGTGAGTATGTGGAGACAAATGCGGAGAGGATACGCACAGAGAGACAGAGCAGCACCCAGGCCGCTGTACACGGGGGCGAACAGCCTGATGGGTCGCGCCGATGGACCCTCCGCCGTCTTCTCGATGTCGTTCGCATCCGC